TTCGATTATGATTCTGAAATCTGTTTCTGCGTTGCTTTTAAGCACTTGATCTCATAGATTTATCTGAGTCGTTCATCTTCTGGATTCATCTCATCCGTCGGATCAAATCCCCTATCTTCTACGTGTCTTCATCTCTTTTCCTATAACAGATAACCATTCTAGCCCTGTTTTTTGGTAAATTTTTTGGCTATGTTTCTGCCTGTATCTAGTTTTGTAATTAGATCGATTATGTAGACGTAAAAAAAAAAAGTTAGACCATCCACCCAAAAACAATTTTTTGTTTTGTTTGAAATGAAGGCTTTAATTAAAAATAAAAAAAAACATAATCGGCTCATGCGTAATGGGCCATTGACGGCGCGCGACTACGTTAAGGAAGGTGGACGGTTATTTCAAGTCGCGCCACTTTCTCCCTCTCTTTCTCTCTATTAAAAACAACATAGCGACTCTCTCTATCCCGCACTTCAACATCCTTCGAAAACCCCAGCTTCAATTTTCCTTTCAACCTTCCTCTTTTGCAACCATGGATTCTTCTCAAATCGCCTCCATCAAATCTCCGTTACTTATCGAAAGAGACACGACCGATTTCGGCAGTACAAACCCTAAACCATCCCTTGTTGTTCTCGATCCCGACACGACTCTCGGTGACTTCTCCAATCATGGAGTCAAGAGAGAGCACGGCGTTGACAATGCTGATACTAACTTGTGTATCAAGAAATCGAGGACCGAGAACAACTCTAACGTTGTCGCTTTGAATGCTAAACCATTGGCGATCGTCGAGCCGGTTGCTCCAAAGCTATCTAGACAGTTTTGGAAAGCAGGAGATGAAGAAGAAGATGTGCCTGTACCTCTCTATTGTAATATTGACACTACTTGTTCGAGAAAAAAACCCTAGTTTGTGTTATTTTGAGATTCGAAACCCTAATTGTGTGTTGCAATTGTATAGGTAGCAATGATGCGGCGGTTAGGGTTCATCCTCAATTTCTTCATGCCAACGCCACCAGCCACAAATGGGCACTTGGAGCTTTGGCTGAACTTCTTGACAACTCTCTAGACGAGGTATATATGTTCTTATTACATATCTCCACTATTCATATTCGATTTTCTACCATATACGTAGAATTGACATTAGATCCACTTAAAATTGTACCCATATTAGCCAAAACAAAACCGAATAGATCTACTTGATTCTATCCTATCAGTCAGAGAAACAAGAAATAATCCTTCTAGGTCAATTTGTCTGGTCAATGACACGACTCTCATTGACCAGAACATCTAGCATAAGGGTTTGTGTTAGTGAAAAAAAACCTCACATTTAGAAATAGTCACCTATTTTTCATTTTTCTTTATTTTGTTTTGTGTGGATATGTCTCTTATCATGTATAAAATTGATAATTCTGACTGGTTTTGTAAGCATAACTTATGTTTTAACTTTTAACTAATGATGTATTGATTTGAAAAACAGGCTTGTAATGGGGCAACATATGTTCATGTTGATTCAACAACAAATCAAAAAGACGAGAAGAGCAACATTCTAACAGTTGAAGGTTAATAACTAAGATTAACTTCAGCTTTTCCTTTTAAAAACATGATTATAAAAACCTATAATTGATCCGGCGAGGTTTAACATTACAGACAATGGAGGTGGGATGAATCCGAGTAGGTTTAGAGAATGCCTTTCTTTGGGGTATTCAAGAAAACGCAATATGGCGAATACTGTTGGTCAATGTAAGCCTGCTCAAATTCATTTTTTTAGTGTTAGCTCTGCTCTTGGCACAACTTAATATTGATAATTTTTTTAAAACAAACAATGAAGATGGGAATGGATTCAAAACTAGTACAATGAGGCTTGGTGCTGATGCAATTGTTTTCTCGCGTTGTCGAGGAACCAATGGAAATAAGTGAGCCACTTCACCTTCAATTATGTTTTTTCAGTTTTCTTTTTTTGTTCCGCATATTCGATTTTTAACTTTTGTTATCTCTAGCTCGACGCAGAGCATTGGTATGTTGTCGTACACATTTCTTTACGAGACAAGAAAATGTGAAGCAATTGTCCCCACGGTACAACTAAAACTTAATTTGTTCATTGTTTCTTTGCTTTATTTAGATTGCTCTTGTTCTCAAAACATTTAAGCCTTGAACTGTCGATTTTTTTCTGTGTAGGTTGATTTTGAGTTGGTTGATAACAATTGGAAGGAGATAATATACAGTTCCACAGATGATTTCTTTGAGAATTTAGACACTATAGTGAAGTGGTCGCCTTATTTATCACAACAAGATTTATTCGACCAGGTTTAATATGTTATATCCTTTTTCAATCATCTTCTTTGCTCACGAAACTACCTTTTATTGTATTATCTCATACTTGTCAATTGTTACAGTTTGATCTCGTAGGAGACCAAGGTACTCGGATAGTGATTTACAATCTTTGGGAAGACGATGAGGGGAAGTTGGAACTTGATTTTGACACGGATTCTCATGTAATATCATAAACTAAAGTTTTTCTATATAGACAATTTGGGACTATGGATGGTATTTATGTTGGATGGTATTTATGTTAATAAGGATGTGTGAATTATCTACAGGATATTCAACTCAGAGGTGTAAACAGAGATGAGAAGAATATAGAAATGGCGAAAGCTTATCCTAACTCGAGGCATTTCCTGACTTATCGACACTCACTACGCGTATGCGTTTTTTTCATGTTTCTTAACACAATCCTATTTGTTAAATTAGTCTTTAATTGTTGACTAACCAGTTTCTTGTTTTTTGCCTTATGCAGAGTTACGCATCGATTCTGTATCTCAGGCTTCCGCCAAATTTCAGAATCATTCTTCGTGGCAAAGATGTCGAACATCACAATTTATTAGACGACATGATGATGACCGAAGACATAACATACAGACCTAAGTGTTCTCCAGAATGGTCATCCGATCAAAACGTTATAACTTGCCTTATTATTACATTTCATAGTTTTCTTTTTCTCTTGAAACAATCTTTAAAATTTCTCTGTGTTTTCTAAAAAAAAACTCAGTTAGTTGCTGCTATAAAGCTTGGCTTTGTGAAAGATGCTTATCATCACATTGACATACAAGGTTTCAATGTTTACCACAAGAACCGGCTTATCAAGGTGATTAATGATAATCAGTAGCTTAAATAGTGTTGGTTATAAATATCTTCATTGGATTGTAACATAGTATATATAACATTTTCGCTTATTTTCTTCAGCCATTTTGGAGGGTTTGGAATGCCGCGGGAAGTGATGGACGCGGTGTTATTGGTATATTGGAGGCTAATTTCATACAACCAGCTCATAATAAGCAAGGCTTTGAGCGAACCGCTGGTCTTGCTAAACTTGAAAACCGATTGATCCAACACCAAAAGAACTATTGGTATATTACTAAATTAATATTCACCACTCGCAGATCATTTTGAGTTTTTGGACGTTCTCTTAAGTTATATTTTTTTGTTTGATAGGTCTTCAAAGTGCCAACAGATCGGTTATGCTCCAAGGAGGAAACAAAAGAATCATGAAAGTTTCGTTACAGAAACTACTCGACAACGCGACCAGAGATATGAAGTACCTTTCAACCAAGTGAACCTTAACAAGGGACCTTCTTCTTCTACTGCAACACCAAGTCAATACTGGCAAAATGTTGAATCATCATCTGAAAGAAACCGAAACTGTCAGGTTTAAAAAATAAGCTTCTTTTACATTAATATTCATCGTTTGTTCTACTACATATGTTTTTGAATCTCTTATGCTGCAAAATAGGTTGATACACAAGAAATTCGTGTCGACATGAAACCTGACATCGGGTTTAAGAACGGGAAACATGGGCTTGGGATAAGGTTTGTCTCTTTGATATTTCCTTTGAACTTTGAGATAATATATAGTAGAATGTTATCTCAATTTACAATCTCTCTTCCCATTGTAGTATCAATGAAACAGGGTCAGCTAATCTAGCAGCTGAGTTGCAGAAGGTGAAAGAGGAGTCAGCAAAACAGAAAACTCTGTTTGAGTTTCAAGTTAAGCTTTTGTTTTTCTTACAAATTTTTGTTTTACTTTTTTAGTTGTTTTGGCTATAATAGATTTCATTGTTTTAACATTTGAACCAGCTCAAGGAGTCAGAAACTAGAATCCAAGGTTTGGAAAAGGCGCACAATACAGCGTTGAAGTACTTTCGCGAAGAAAGAAGCCGCAGAGATGTGACTGAGAGTGACTTGAGGAAGGAGCTACGGGTTAGTCCTTTGTTACTAAAAATAAATTATGTTTATACTATAAGCTCTCCATGAATACTCATATCATTTTGTTATGCAATGTAGGGAGCTTATTATGAAATTCATGAGCTAAAGAAGAAAGTGAATAGCCTCGAAGCGGATAAAGCATATTGTAAGAAGATGCATGCCAACAAATGAAAAATCTAGGACAGTTTCTAAAACTCATTTGCTATGTTTTTAAGGGTTGTACAGCAGATTGAACATATTCCTTAGACTTAGGGACTTGGTGAAGTTTGATTTAAGGCTGTACATATTCTTTTAGTTGTTTAGTATCTTTCTACATGTTCGTAGGCTACATTGTTCAAATCTTGCGTATGAAACCAGATTTCTTAATGCATCCCATGTTTTGCGTATTAAATATCTTGGCTCGATTCCTAACTCGATTATATAGCCTTATTTAGCGTTGCAACTCAGATTCTTTTGAGCCATGAGAGAGTTTGCTTACTCTGTCTCCTTGCTTGGTGTAGCTAAACCACAATGAATTTTTTTGGAGGTTCCGAGTTCGAACATCGGCGACAAAAAAGAGCCTAATTTAACCTGTTCGGGATCCATGTCCGAACTTCTTGATTACAATTTTTGGTGTAGCTAAATCATACAGTAACTTGATTAACAAGTCCTCAAAACCAAATCGTTTAATCCTCTGTAATTGAAAAATAATTACACATTAATTAACTAAGTAACCAATAACACACACAGAAACACAATCAAACCCCAAAACAGAGGAAACCATAAAAACAAAACAAAAAAAAGCCAAATCTTAGAGGTAATCGGAAGAGAGAATCTGATCTCTTAAAGATTACGATCGTCGCCGGGAGGAAAACGTGGAAGATAAGGTATCCAAGTAGTCGGATCTCTCCAATCAAACGCCGGTAATGCCGGATTAGGGTTTCCAAAAGGAAGAAACGGAAAAGGCGAAGCCGGAACCGGCGAGGGTAATGTCGGTAACGGCGGTAGATTCTTGTACGGCCAAGCGAACCAATACGGTGATAGATAAGGCCAGAAAAATTTCGAATCTTTCAATTTCTTCTCTTCTTCTCTCCGGTGATCATGATGATGATGTCTCTTTCCTCCTCCTCCGCCACCGCACAATGTGGTGTTTCTGTGTGAAGGTTTGTAGCTTAGTGCGCTTAAACTGTAGATACAGAGACGATCTTGTTTTGATTTGATTGATACTTCGTTAGTTGCTGTCTGAAAAACGGGTATGTTGCAACCGACATTGTCGGCTGAGGTTTTGATTAGCTTTGCGCTGCACTGAGATGCGATTGCGATTCCGTCGACGCAGTCGATACCGTCGACGTGAGGGATCTCGAGATTGTAGACGCCGTTTCTGTTTGTTGTTCTGTTTACTGATATGTTTACTTCTTCTGCTGTTTTTGGTGAACTTGCTTTGAATCTACAAGTTACATGAACTTCCACACCTGTGAAAGAGAGAAGAAGAGAGACTCTGGTTTAACAATTCGAACCGAAAGCCGAATCAATTTTGAAAATCGGTTTTATTTCTTTTGAAACCGGTTCAAAGATATTTTCTGAAAGATTGGATCTCAAATCGAACCAAAACCATATCAAACCGAACATAATGGTATTCTGTTTTCATCCAATTTCTACGTTTCATAAACCAAAAACCCTAAAAACCGGTTGGGATCAGAAAAGAAAAGAGAAGTCTGGTTTTGGTTAATTTCGGTTAAACTGATCCGAACCAAACAGAAGATGTATCTCGCAAAACTGATTTTTTTTTTTTTTTAACCGGAGCAAAAACGAAATAAAGCCGATTCGGTTTTGCGTTTTTATATCCGAACAAGCAATTTTTTTGTGTGGAAGATTGAATCCCAATCGAAACCAAAACCGTATCAAATCGAACAAAATGGTATTCGGTTTCCATCTGATTATCTATATTCATAAACCAAAAATCCCAACGAAAAACCGGATTGACAAGTCCTAGGTTGCCAGATTACTTCAAGTCTAAGTTCATGTTATGTTAAATCTAGATCCTTGCCTTTTATTACCTTGTAACATGTTTTGATAGAAACCAAATCACAAACGAAATTGTATCAAACAGAATAAAAAAAGGTATCGAAAAGATCGAATCGAAACCAGATTGGCCAATCCTAAGTCACTACTAAAAAGTTTCAAGTCTAAGGACCATTTTAAGTAATGTTAAATCAAAAGATCACTGACCTTGTAAGAAATAGCTCTGTTTTGAGAAAGTGTTACTAGAACAAGTGTCACAGTAGACAACTCCGACTACTGTGATACGAGAAGAAGGGTCCAAGCTTCCTTCCGATGGAGACCCACCACGACCACGGCCACGGCCAAAAGCTTGATGTGTGAAGCAAGAAGTTAGAAGCAGAAGAAAGAGGAGGTAAAAATACATTGTGGCTAAATCTCACTCACTCTCTGTCTATTCTTCTTCTTGATGATAATGTATGTATGTGTGTGAGTGTGATTGCAGTATCTTCAACCCGTGATCTTCTTTTTTTTTGACAACCACTGTTTAACTAAAATTCCTTTTTTTTCCACTACAATACAAAGACATGTGAAGAGCCTTCTTTTGGCTCATTCTGGTATATTTCAATGTGAGAAACAATCATGAAGAAAGAGGTCTATTTTTGGGTACTTTACCAAAAAGTCTACAAAGTGTTTGTAAGTTATTTAACTTATACAGAACTAATCCAACAGATTATGAGCCAAACCTCAAAGATTTCTTAACCTCAATGATTTCTTTATATGTGTTTTCTTTCTTCTCTACTTTTTAAAGATAATGCCAGTTATCTATATCTTTGTCTTGGTTGATTAAAGGGTTTTATTGCTTTCTTGTGATTCAAGTCTTTTGCAAATTATTCATTGACATTAATTATGTTAATTAACTTTCCTTTTGGGGAAGACTTAAGATTCTGATTAAGCCTAATCATTTGCTGCTATAAATGTCTGAAACTCATGTGTTGTGTGTGGCTTCTATAAATAACAAAACTATAAGCCATCTCACATGATAAAATTTGAACCTGTTTGGATCTAAGATTTACATTATATAATTTTTAAACAAAAGAGAGAATGCCTCAAGCATTGATCATATCTACAAAAAATGTTCGACACCAAAATTTTGCTTCTTAATAAGGGAGAAATATTTTTGGGAGTTTCGTGAACTTTTATTTGATACGAAAATTTATTGTTAGTTATTATTTTTATAGATATGAAATGTTGTTTAATAACTTGTTTTCTAACCCACAAAAGAAGATTCAAAAATTTGTAATGATGTATAGTATTAGAAACGCTGATCTCACGATGCCCTTCTCGAAACCTTAATTATTGAGAGGAGTTTCTGTGATGATATTGAAGTTTTACGTGTGCGTTCTCAGTCTCTGTTGAGGTTCGTTCATGTTGCGGACAGTTCTGATGATTTGGTTGAAGATCTAGTAGTTGTAATTAAGTATCTGAGGTTCAGTGATCATCGAATCGCAAGTTTCATACTAAATAATCCGGTTTCCCTTGTAGAAGCGGATATCGATACTGTGTTTAACTTGATTCTCGAAAAGAAGTTCGATCCGAATGATCTACCAAAGAGAAATATGATTCGTAATTTTCTCCGCGGAATCTCTAGTGTCAAATATATGACCATCGCTTCGAGTACTCTTGAGGTAAACCTATATGTTGAATTCAGTATTTGAACGCTTAACGTTATCCTAAACCTTATCCTGTTACTTTTTTTCTTACTTGCAGGTCATCTATGACTACTCAAGATGTGAACGACTACCCTTATTCCGTAACCTATCTTTCTTGCGTGTTGAGTTCTACGGCTACAGCTGGGAAATGTTGCCAATCTTTCTTGAGAGCTGCCCGAATCTAAAATCTCTTGTCGTGGTTAGGATTGTCTACTGATACATGAACTTCCTATCTTAAGACGCAAATGTGAAAGTATCATATATTGAACTTGTGTTTCTTCCACTTGGTTGTATCGTACTTTCAGGGATCTACTACATATCAGGAGAAGGAGGGAATCAATATTTTGTCCGAACCTCGGTGTTTCCTATCATCCCTCGAGTATGTTAAGATAGAAAGACCACTGAAAGGGGAGGCGAATGAAATGAAACTAGTGAGTTACTTGCTTGAGAACTCAAACAACATCAAGAAACTAACCTTATGCTTGGATGGTTCCATAAAGAAAGAAGAATCTGTTATCCTCAAAGAACTCCTTACCATTCCAAGACTCTCTATATCATGCCAAGTTGTCGTTCTCTGATGATCCCCACCATCATCACCAATGAACATACTAGGTTTTCTTTGAGTACTTAGTTAATTTTGAATTCTTTGTTTTTTCTTAGTTTATTATGATGATATTGAATTGTCGAAGTTCGTAAGAGTCATATTTTGTGTCAAATCAGTATCACTCCAATCTCCATCGTGGTTAAGACATGCTTTGGAAGTTGTCAAGGGAGGATATTAGTGCTTTCTTCTTTTGTCTCTATGAGAGATAGTATTAATAGTAAAAAACAACTTTTAAATAATGTCAGTTATGATCAATTTTGATGGTTTAAAACATCATCACAAGATCAACTTAATCATGAATTAAACACAAATATTCAAATACAAGAAGATAATTTTCCTGCCTTTACCTCTACAAAGTTCTAAACAATTTTCGTTCACAACCTGTTAGAACAGGATTTTATAACAGACACTTTTTTAACCAATAAATAAAAGGAACCCAAACTTT